AAGTCATGAGCAGAATATTATGTATAATAAAAATAAACAATAATATTAATACCTCATCAATAATAGTGGACTTAAACACTGATTTATCAAATTCCCAATTCTGGCACCCATTCAGACAGCCGTCGATCGATTGAGTCTACACTTAATGATACAATTAATGTCACAATTGAGACAACCATAGAGTTTCATTACCTCATTATTATAAGGAATGGTAGGGCCGGTAGTGTTGCTGTCGGTGCTGTCGGCGCACCAGTGCTTAACAGTCGGCGCATAGAAAGAAACGGACAGATTATTGAGCGCCGAGAATAAGGATATGGAGACCGAGAAGAAGGTAATATTGAATTGCCATAAACCCCATTCTCCCACTATATCCGACACATGTCTCACATTCTTACGCCTCATCGCAATGTCTGCTCACATGTATGAATGGGAACCAGAATTATGATGGTTTCACTCAAATTACAGAATTCAATGTACTGTATGTGTGTTCACTATATATTGTGTATACTTTACACTACATGTGTATTATTCACTTCACTATATAGAGCACAATATATTGTATAAATTATATATAATCAAATGCAACAACTAGGACATATTTTAATGTAAATGGTATATTAGTTGCGCTCATCTATTTTATCGATTTATATCTTTTCATATGATATTTTCACATATAGTTTTACATATAATCGCATAACACATCCATATGTCTGTAATACACACTTAATTGTTAAATTAAAAACTCAAGATTTTTTGCAGTACAATTGTAGAGTAATAAGCATTGAAAGCCATTAAACATTGTCAACACTTCTACATATATTTCACAAATAGATAATTCAAAACTAACTAAACGTCAGCCAAAATAAATATAATTTATTTTTAAAGTTTAATAAAATCTCTATAATGAATGAGATAAAAATCTATAGACATATCACTCGAGACATCTAAATAAACATATAAAAAATTTATATTTAAATTTAATATTAACATAATATTCATGGAAAATACTTATGTTTATTAAAGTATAAATAAAATAAGTTGTTTTAAAAGTAAATGAAGTGTTGGAA